AGTGAGGGCTGCAGAAAAGTGGATCAACAGGTACTAAGTTAAAGTTAGGTAAGTGTAAGAAGTTCTGGGCTTTCACCGCATGGTAGAGTGACTACAGATAACATGAATGTACTGTGTATTTTTCTATGAAAATCAGTTAGAAGATTTTGTATGCTTTTACCATAAAGAAATGTTAAATATTTGAGGCAATATATATATATATTTACTCTGATTGGACATTACACAATGTACACATGCATCAAAAGATCACATGGGGAGGGCAGCACTGTGGTGTAAAGCTGCCACCTGTGACACCAGCATCCCACATGGGCACCGGTTCAAGTCCTGGCTGCTCACTTCTGACCCAGTTCCCTGCTAATGCACCTAGGAAAGCAGCAGAGGATGGCCCAAGTGCTGGGCCCCTGCACCTATGTGGGAGACCTGGAAGCTTTGGGCTCCTGGTTTCGGTCTGGCCCAGTCCTGGCCATTGCAGCCATTTAGGGAGTGAACCAGCAGATGGAAGATGTCTCTCCCTCTGTCTCTGCTTCTCCCTCTCTCTCTCTCTCTGTAGCCCTGTGTTTCAAAAAAATAAAATAAATCTTAAAAAAATATATAAGATCACATGGTTCTCCACAAGCAGACACTATTTTTATATATCTGTTAAAAAGTTAGATTAAAAAAATTCCCAAACTGCAACATTTCTGGTTCCTTGCAGTTTGAATACTGATACTCATTATGCTTATAGTTAAAATGGTTACTGAGGGCTCATCAAGTGCCAGGAACTATTCGAGATACTTGACTTCAGCAATTTAGAATTAGTTAAGAATATTAAAGCTCGGGGCCAATGCTGTGGCAAGGCAGGTTAAAGTCCTGGTCTGCAGCACTGGCATCCCATATGGGTGCCAGTTCGAGTCTCGGCTGCTCCACTTCCAATCCAGCTCTCTGCTAAGGCCTGGGAAAGCAGTGGAAGATGGCCCAAATGCTTGGGCCCCTGCACCCATGTAGGAGACCCAGAAGCTCCTAGCTCCTGGCTTTGGATGGGCTCAGCTCCAGCCATTGCGGCCATTTAGGGAGTGAACCAGTGGATGGAAAACCTCTCTCTCTCTCTCTCTCTCTCTCTGTGTGTGTGTCTCCACCTCACTCTGTAACTCTTTCAAATAAATAAAATAAATCTTTAATAAAAGAATATTAAAGTGCTTAGCATAACCACCTCTAAACTAAAAGTAACACAGGACCTGGATTTGAACTCTAGAAATGATTCTTGTCCCCTCGGTATTCAGTTGTTGGAAAATGCCACCCACCTGGGAAGTCTCAGGCAGAGCTAGGGCTACAATCTGGACCCCCAACTTGTAGTCTAGTCCTAAAGGATCACCTTACCCCCACCTTTGCCATCACATGTCCTGTGTCTCCCCAAGCCCCTCACCTCCAATCTGGGGGGCTCGGATCCTCACCGCGTTGATACTACCTCTCAACCGGTGCCGCATTCCCTGGGGAAAGTAAGGAAGGGAGTCAGGGCAGGGTCCCGGCCACTAGTAGACAGGGCTTCTAGTTTTTAAGAGAATGTAGGGAATGGGAGATCTGTTTAATACTGAGAAGCAGCAAAGAACTAGGGGCCTGGTGAGCACCCCAACATGAGTATCCTTGGAGCTGGGTTGGTAAGTGTTCATTCATTCATTTGTTGGCTCATTCATTTAATGAATGACTAATGGGCATCTACTATGTGCCAGGCACTATGTTACAAGCAGGGATACAGCAGCGAATGGGGTAGATCCGGGCTCTGTCCTCCCAAAGCTTACATCAGTGGAAGGCAGATCCTGAGCAAGAGTACACACAAACAAGACAGATGCGGGCAGCAATATGCACTCCGAGGAGACAGGTTAAGAGAAGTGATCATGGCTGAGGGACAGGAAAGGCCTCTTCACAAAGGGGACATTTGTGCTGAAATTGTGACGATGAGAAACACAAAGATCTGGGAAAGGGAGTTCCAGGAGTTGAGAGGAGGGACAGAGCTACATATAAAAACTGCAGAGGACTGGACCTTGTGGTGCAGTGGCTTAAGGCCCTGCTTTGGATACCAACATCACATATGTGAGTGCCAGTTCAGGTCCAGGCTGCTCTGTTTCCTAAACAACTTCCGGCTAATACATCTTGGGAGGCAGTAGATGATGATTCAAGTGCCTGTGCCCCTGTCAGCCACATGGGAAACCCAGATGGAATTCCGGGCTCCTGGCTTCAGCCTAGTCCAGTCCTGGCTGTGGTGGGCAGTTGAAGAGTAAACCAGCGCATGGGCGCTCTCTCTTTCTATCACTCTGCCTTTCAAGTAGAGGGAAATAAATAAAACATTTGTTTAAAAATTACAGACTGGGGCAAGCATTTGGCCTATTGGTTAAAGCACCCACATCCCATATTGGAGTGCTTGGGCTTGATCCCCACCACTAGTTCCTGTTTTTAAGATTTATTTTATTTATTTGAAAGGCAGTGGGACAGAGAGAGGGGGAAAAACAGAAAAAGGGGTCTTCCACCTGCTGGTTCACTCCCCAAATGGCTGAAGCCAGGAGCCAGGAACTCCATCTGAGTCTCTCCCATGTGGGTGGCAGGGACCCAAATACCTGGGCCATCTTCTATGGCCCTCCCAAGCGCATTAGCAGGGAGCTGAATCAGAAGCAGATCAGGTGGGACTTGAACCAGAGCTCTGCTATGGGATGCTGGTGTCAAAAGCAGCAGCTTAACATAAATGCCTTCCAGCCCCAATTCCTGAGTCCAGCTCCCTGTGAATTCAGACCCTGGAAGGTAGCAGGTGATGGCTCAAGTCATTAGGCTCCTGCTATCCATCTGAGAGAGCTGGATTGAGTACCTGGCTCCTGGCTTTGGCCCAGGCTGTTGTGGACATTTGGGGAGTGTGCTCTCTTTTTTTTTTATTTTTTTTATTTTTTTTTATTTTTTGACAGGCAGAGTGGACAGTGAGAGAGAGAGACAGAGAGAAAGGTCTTCCTTTGCCGTTGGTTCACCCTCCAATGGCCGCCGCGGCCGGCGCGCTGCAGCCGGCGCACCGCGCTGATCCGATGGCAGGAGCCAGAAGCCAGGTGCTTTTCCTGGTCTCCCATGGGGTGCAGGGCCCAAGCACCTGGGCCATCCTCCACTGCACTCCCTGGCCACAGCAGAGGGCTGGCCTGGAAAAGGGGCAACCGGGACAGAAATCCGGGCGCCCCGACCGGAACTAGAACCCGGGGTGCCGGC